ATATATATATATATATATATATATATATATATATATACAGCTTTAAAGCTTTCCTTCTGGGCTGCTCTCTAGCAAAATCTATTCCAGGATTCTTATGTAAAGATCACATAAGCATGGGTTTAATTTATAAAACACTTTGTTTCCACTAGCTTAAAGCCAAAAGGCCAGTTGTTTGATGTTGGTAATACTCTCTGGTCAGGTTATCATGACATGAGCACGGTTTGAAATTAATATCATAACGCTATTATAATGCTCCAGTGAGACGGCAATGAAATAAAGAAATTAGAGAAGCACATGCTCTGTCAAGGGGATTGGCATTATGAGATTCTGTAAGGATTTGAAAGGCTGATATCAGGATGAAAAGGATGTAAACCAATTTATTTCACAGTCTCCAATGTACTGTACTGATCGGTCAGTAAAAGAGTTGTGTAATCCTCATTGAACATAACAGTTCACAGAAAACTGCCTTTCAGCAATAGTCTAGACATTACAGTACTAAAGGGAAGATGTTTAGCTATATTTGAAAAACCTGTTTGTTAAAATGCACTGTTTATTAAACATGTAAATATTATATTTCAAATACAAAAAAATATTTAAAAAATCACATTTTCTAGTGCCAGTGTTCTAAGAAACAACCTCTGTAGTCCTGAATGAACGTTTTGATTTAATCATTGTATGAACTCGACATCCAACAAACCCCCTTGAAAGCTATGCATCATTGTATGCATCAAAACACAAGCTAACCACAACCTACTTGGAATTTCAAGTAGTCAAATGACAGTCAAGCTGCCCTTCTGAAGTACTACACTACAGTTGCACTAAAGTTAGCTACAGTACACTTACAAGTTACTTACAGAAAGTAGCCAACAAACTTATGCACTAAATTGAATCAGATGTCTCAGTGGTAGAAAGGTTAAAACACTACACACATACTGTCAATAAGTCAGAAAGTAACATTTTGGGGTTTCTTTGCTTTATGTCAGTCTCATTTTTTATGTCGGCCCTTTATTTTGAAGCTGTAGTATGCTATGCTAACTACCTTTCTGCCCAGTCAGTCAATGACTAAATAGACTGTGTTTTAAGATGAAGGTACGGCTTACAGAAACTAGACAGGCTTTCCAAGGCACGATAACATCATATCTAATGATCTAGAACAAATTCAAGTGGGTGTTAAAAACCAAGTGAGTATTTAAAGTGGCTACAATGCTTATTTTTCAGAAATGGAGTCATAAGTTGATTTTATTTATTTGATTATTTTTATGGTTATTTCTATATAATTTAATTAATTCAACCAGTCAATCATGCACACGATTATGGGATATAATAGGCAGCATACAATACATCTAAAACAGACCAGATGAATGATGTTATGTACACAAACACTAAAATCAGTCAAGTCTTATTGCCTTACTACCTCTATACACTGTGTTTCTCAGCTGTCTGATATGGCAATGTCATGTACGTTCACTGATCACTGACTGTCTTGTTTAATCATTTGCTTGTGTATTTATACCCTCTCATGGTTTCCCTCGTCTAGTATTGCTTGATGTGTTGTGTGAATTTTGGTTCCATTAGTCTTGCTTTGAACTCTTGTCTGATCGTGTATCTTAGTATTATCTTGTGTTGGATC